GTGGATCCAACCGTCCGAGTTCCCGTACCAATCACGGCAGCGCTGAATGCTCAACTCCTGCGGATCTGTTGGGATGCTTCCAAGTTGGGGAGCTGTGTCGCCGGAGAAAGTCCCAATTTATTGCTATTCGAAAAGGGAAAGTGATGATAAACCATATTGAATATATATCGATTTAGGGCTTCGAAATTCGAAATAGTTCGAAATGTTGAAACAACCCCAAAAAGTCGTTTATGTTGCTGTTTATGCTGCAACGCCGCAACTTGTACAATAAATCTTGGCCAGATACCCACGTGTGTTGTGTCTACGGCCGGCTTGTGGAAACAAGCCATGGCCATTGAGCAATATTTCTACCACTGGGCCACGGGGATTGGCGCCGCAAGACTACGTGGACACATCTTCAAAGCACGAGCCTTCATAAACAGGATATGAACAACTATGAATATAGGTTTCTGGTTCATGTATTTTACATGAGCTCACATGCATCTTACAGATACCATGAGACAACCAAACCCTACAAGAAAGAAAGATTTCTTATCTTTCTTCAAAGCAAAGCCCTCGAGAGGCAATGGTTTAGTGAACACAGTCTCTGATTATCTGGGTCCAGGAGTCGGGAGCACACCATTCCTTGTTTCTCACCGAGCTGTGGGGATTTTGCACCAGATTCGACCAAACATTTGACCATTCTGAAATGGCCGTTCTTGGCTGCAAAATGCACGGCGTCAAGCCATCGTGCGTGGCATGATCTTTGTCAGCGCCACGTTCAAGGAGAAACTGGACAATGTCAAGACGGTTCAACTCAGCTGCAAGACACAATGGCGTTGACCCAGCATCTGCCACTGCATCCTTCCTGGCCCCAGCTTCAACCAGCAAACGAACGATGTGCAGATGGCCTCCTTGCACTGCATCAAACAACGGTGTTGTCCCATCCTGTGTTCTGGGCTCATCAATCTTGGCTCCAGCTTCAAGCAGCATCTGAACGACGTCCAAATGGCCCCTGTAAGACGCCGCGTGCAGGGGTGTTGCCCCATCATCATCCTCTGTTGTGGGCTCATCCTTGTTTGCACCAGCATTAAGCAGCAACGCAACAGCTTCGCTATTGCCGTATTCAGCTGCCCACAACAAGGGCGTGACCGAAATGTTCCCTCTACTATCTACCTCTGCACCTGCTTCAAGCAGGAGCCGAACGGGCTCGCCATGTCCGGACTCCGCTGCACAGTGCAGAGGTGTCTGGCAATCTTCCCCCGTGATATTTGGATCCCTGGGGCACCGAAGAAAATGTTCAAGCGCAACCAAGTCGTTGCGTTTCGCAGCAGACAGCATCTTTTCGTCTTCTTCAGCATCAGGGGGGCAAAACTCCAACTTGACTAGTTGAACCCTCTCGGGAGCAGAGGTGAAAACCTGATCATCCGCGATCTCATTGGCACTATCCAAGAGTTTCTGCCTGAATCTGCTGACCTTGGTGGTTTGATTTTTTCTGGGATAAATGGCAAATCCAACAATACCACCCAAATTGATGTTGTTCATGGGGAAACTCATGATAAACATTGATAAACCATCAAAGGTTGCGGTGGTTTTCCCGTTTTCCCCTAAATTTTCAGACAAAGCCAAATGCGTGGCTGTCCATCGAGTGACGCCCACTTTGGGCACCAAGGCTTGCTTCACCGCCAGGGCAGTTTTCCCTTCAACTTCCTCAGAATCCAGAACTGTCACGACTTCACCGGAGAGGAGGCACACTTCCATTGTGAGGGCTGCGAAACCCGAGATGGCGTCCCTTGAAACACTGGCTGGTTGAGAACGGAGTTACCAGTTCATTGGAGCAGTCATAATCAATATATTGGATGGTATCAGCACGTATAACCCCATCTAATCATCAACAGGAGGTTCGAACACTGCTCAATTAGTTTGACAGGACAAGGATTTAGGGCAATCCCTGATAGTTTTGTTAAAATCCGCTGGAGAAGCTGTTAAAAAAAGAAAAACACCAACCTGACATGAACTGGATGTTCTGAAGTTCCCACACACAATGTGATGAATGGGAATCGGCTCTATCAATTGGCTCTGAATCTCTGAACCAAAAAAGGCAGCTATGGATGGTTCAGCTGATCATGCGCAGCAGGTTGCACCCAAAGCCAAGGAAGCTTTGCACAAACTGTAGACTTCAAAAACACATCGTAAAATAGTAGAAAAAATTCTGGTCGATCATCGCAAACTGGGGTTGAACTGGTTGAATGAGTAGGGCCTAGGGATCCATGCCTGTCATAAGCCGCATCTACTCAACATGAGCTGATCAGCAAGCCATGGGAAATGAGCATCAAACACTCCGAAACCACAAGGAGAACTTCGATGGCTCCAAAATTCAAAGTGTGAGAAATTCTGGTGACATGATTTTTTGGCCACCTGATACGAGCATCATTTAGAAAAAACAACATAGACGCTGATTCAATAAGATTTGGGATTCTGACAAAAAATCATCAAAACCTGTCCCTTCATTCTCCTGGGAGCCCTCGGCATATAAACCAAAATTGTAGAGCCTCGCTCCGTCCGGGCAAAACGCAAGACTTCCAGGGTTTGATGAAAGATGATGGGGCGAAAACCATGGATAGAAGGAGAATGGAACCAAGAATAACCAAAAGGATCAAGGGATATAAGGTCTATCCCACTGTTGATGATAAGCACCAATCTGTTGGATAGAAATAATAGAAACCTATCATGTGGTTGGCAAACTCCAAGTAACTCAGTTTTTTCGCTCCCCATTTAAGAGAGAATGGGAATAGAAATACCTCAGCCCCTTAGGTTCCTCCGCAACAGTATCACAATCCTGGAACGAATTCTCAACCAACAGGGATTTTTCAGCCACTGCTCGACTGGTCGGAAAAACGAAGGGCCCGGATCTTTCTTGATCAACATTCCATCAACAAAGTTTGGGAATCAAAGAACCATTCCCTTCATAGTGCCCTGAAAATGAGACAACACAAACTTCGATCATCTTCCATCATCTTCCCCTCAACTTTCATTCCAGGCCATTCCAGGCACCACCAGCAGTCGCAACATGTCGCAACCATGAGACTTGTTGATCTTCATTCCAGCGAGGGTCTTGTACACGTGGACCTGCGAGGTGATCCTCCCCAGAAAACTCACCATGAACCATGGACCGAAAATCCAACCATTTCTAGATGATTTTCCCATGAAAAATATTGAAAAATCCTCCGTTCGCGCCTTCCCATGCTGGACTCGTTCGGCTCCCTGGCTGAAGATTTATGGTCGGTGATTCCCGATTTCAGACGAAAATCTCACATATACCATCCCCGTAACTGACGTAGACCGAGAGCATAGCCCAATTTTAGACAAAAAATCAATCTTCAACCCCAACTCATGGGGGTTTCCTAAAATGTTAGTACCCGCAAAACATCCAAAAACAAACAAAAAATCATCACCATTTGAAACAACCACTGTGACTCGGGGATCCCTCCATTGCAAGAACCCCCCTTATTTTAATTTGGTATATAGTCCCACCGTCTTATATCATCCAAATATGCAGGCATATAATATATATATATATATTATTTATTGATTTATTGATTTATTTATCTATTTATTCATTTGCTTATCTATTTGTATATACATATATATATATGTGTGTATCATCCAATATACCATAGTCTTCAACCCCCAACTCATAGGGGGGTAATTTGGAGAATGGCCAACCAGCAGCACGCCTGTACGGTGATGGAGTCCTGTCGCCCCTGAGACCAGTTGCATAACGTAACGATACGCGGCTTGGCATTTGCCAATGGAAAATGTTGGGAGATTCAATCAGGATGGTGCCCCCCAGTTATGTTAGTTGGTGGGGCCCGAGCAATAAATATAATTATTTGCGTATCGTACACTAGCTGGTTGGTGGTTTCAACCCCTCTGAAAAATATGAAAGTCAGTTGGGATGATTATTCCCAATATATGGAAAAATAAAAAATGTTCCAAACAACCAACCAGACCATTGTTTAAAAACAATGGTATAAACCATCTTAGCTATCGAACTGGGGCCTGATGGGATTTCTGGAACATCGCGATTTCATGAGATTGAACCATGAAGAATAGGGATTTTTTCAGCACCAAACTTGAATGTCAATGGATTGGGTTAAGGGAAATCTAACAGAAACCACAGGGTTTTTACCATCAAATATAGGGGGGTCCTGCAGATATTCCCATCATGCAATTCTGGAAGACATAAATCAACGGAACCAGCGATATAAGCAACAAAGTTGGGATATAACCAAGAAGAATATCAGCAGCGGATATATCGAAAATGATTGCCCTTTATAGAAATTTTGCTGGTCGGCTCATTCAGCCACCATTTTCTCGTTGTGGAACAACAATCCTTGGATTTGTCCAACTTGTCCATTTCATGAGTCATCCAACGATAGCTTGCAAGAGAGCAATTTCTGTGCGTTGTACATGTGTATTATATATATATTATATTATTATATATATATTGCTATTATATATATATAATGTATATGTATATATATATATATGTGTGTTTATTCATATACGTATTTATTCATATACGTATATAATCACATAATATATCATAATATCACTGAAATAAAAATGTTTATACACCTACGTACGTTTAGATCAAAGTATCAAACTATCTCGTGAAAAGTCACCAAGGCAAACCCAAATCCCTGGCGAAGTTCACTGCAGCTCAGGAACGCTGCGAAAGTCGCAATCGAAGCCACCCATGCCAATCCAGCACCTGAGATTTTTTCGGCAGGCTGTGCATCTGAACAAAAAATTGGGCTGTGGGATATGATATGATTAACTATATGAATCATATAGATCTATGGATAGATTGATATAGATTTATATTCAAATTATAATAAAATATAGTAATAATTAATAATATATATATATTGATCGACAGATAGACCGTCCTTTTATTTTTTTTACCTTTCCCTTGCTGAAATCCACCGCTTCCACGAGCCGCTCCAGCGTGAATTTTTTCGACCGCAGCGCATGGCCCTGTGCGAAGTTCGATCGCAGGGGACTCAGCACTGGGCTCGCTGCTCTCCGGTATCAACTCACCAAAAAAAAATGGAAAATCACCATTTTCATAGGCAAAATCAATATCAATGGACCATTTTCAGTGGCAAACTGTTAGTCCTTACCGGACAACTTGCGTTACCATTCAAGCCTTTCCCGCGCGCCACACTGACAAGTCCACTTCACCAAAAGTGTCCGCATGTGTCCACGACAATAAAACGTTCGGAAGTTGACACAAAAAAAAGTGACATATGATGACATATGGGCATCTTGCGAACAAACTCTTTGCAAATTTTGGAGCCATCTGGGTCCTATCATCCTATCCTGACAGAAATTGCCATCCTCTCAGCCAAGAAAACTGTGCCACCATCGGATCCGCACCTTCCCAGTTCCTGGAGCTCCTAGCCACGGAAGAGGAAGAGCCAGCTGTTGATGCTCACCACTTCGGCTTCGTCCACCTGTCCATGTGCGCCGTCGGCGTCGGCGTCGGCGTCGGCGGCGGCGTCGTCGTCGTCGTCGTCGCCGGCGTCGTCGTCGTCGTCGTCGTCGACGTCGCTGTCCGTGTGTTCGTAGAGCATCATGGTTATCATCACGTTACCCGTAAATCCAAAGAAATCTGGTAACCAGATGTAACCAGTAGTACGAGTACCGTGGAGCAAGCATTGCAATTGAGATCAATTTAGATAGTCACTAAGAACTGACACTACCATCGCTACCATCATGAAAAAAAGTACTGTGAATCAAGGGCTATCAAGACCATCAAAGCATTGTCGTGCCCGAAAAGTCATCGGATGATATGATCAATGATATGGCATGATATGGCTATGCAGATCCATTGATCAATTGATCCTCCAATTTCCATATGTTCCATGACGTTCCATGTTCGCCCACATTTCGCCGCTTCGCCTTCCCATCTGCCACGTACGATGCCATCAGTTCCGTCAGGCCTCCTGGCGATGATGCCGATCCTCCCAGGCCCAAGCTGTCCAAGGCTGCCACCCAGGCGGTCCGGTCCCAGGGTCGCACCTGCAGCATCTACCTGTGCCTGCAACCGCTTCAGCTTTGGAGTATCCAGCTGTTCTGGGACCAAACTCAACTGGCACAGCACCTAGCAGAGAGAGCCAGAGCTTGCTTGGAAGACTTCGGATGGGAACAACCGAGTTCTCTAGGGATGCTTCGGCAGCAACCGTGGTTTTGGGATGGTGACCAAAAAAATATGGAAACTTGATAAAAATTGGGTTCGACCTAAAAGAAAAGGATGGTGCTGATCCGATCGTGAAACAAATACCTATCTTTCTCACATGTCAGCTGGCCCCCAGCTGCAAGTCTTCTCAAGTCGACTGTTCCACCCAATTCCAACCTCATCTACACGAAGACGTTCGCAAGAGGCAAAGGAATTGACACCTTGATAGAGCCTTGCTGAAAAACTGTGGCGACCGCCCAGTCCCCGCGTTCAAAACATCTCGGACCTTTTTCAAGAATCCGCCGGAAGGGTCACCAGACTGGTTTCTAAACCATTTACTAACTTGGATCGGACCAATTATGAGACTTCTCAAAGGCTAAAGCCAGCCTTGAAAAAGTTGGATGGCACGGTGAAGTAGCCACCCGGGGAGGCCCCAAGATGACTCCAACGGCAGGGAAAATTCATCGGACTACATGGAAAATGTTCTATGAACTCTATTGCCATGCTTGATGACACTGGAGGGCAATATGGTAATATGCCTGCTTTGGGTCTGTGAATGTCGCATTCAAGCTTGATCCTAGAGCCCCATTGCACCCTTGTGGCACTTTGTAGGACATGTGACACCTCACACACCTCGCCAATCAACTCCATCAACTCCAATATCAATGCCAGAGAGCAAAGATGGATTGATTCCCTTGGAGCGCATCGCTTGCAGCCCCTTCGAAATGTCCTGTGCTGCGCAGAATGATCATCTTTGATCCATCCCCACAAAGTGCATAAAATGCTGCGCTTCAGCACCAGCACTACTTGGCGAATCATGGCCTGAGTTATCCCCGGTTATCCCATAGTCATCACTGGATGACGGGATTATGACGTGACTATGGTGATGAACCACTCATGGGGATGATCCACATTGATCCACCCCTACCATTACCTCCACCGCAGTCCCCGCAGTCCGCCAAGCTGTAGCCCGTGATCACCGTGGGAACTCGCAGTTGGATCAAGGAATAGAGGGCCGGAGACCACGAATCCTTGGAGCAGGCGCCTTGCGCACACTCCCAGGTTGAGGTCCAGCGGTGCACACTGAGCTGGTTTGGTCCCAGGTTGAGGTCCAGCGGTGCACACTGAGCTGGGAAGTTGGCAAAGAGCTTGGCGAAGAGTTGGCAAGGCGGAAGTTGAGGTGGAAGTTGATGCAGACATGGTCGAGGAGAAACTGGAGGAGGAGGCAGAGGAGGAGGAGGAGAAGGCGGAGGACGAGGAGGAGGAGGACAGCTAGCCGAGGAGAACAACTCTGATAAAATCTAACAACCCTCACCTGGCAGGTGGGGAATGACTAAAACGAAACATCAACTAAATGGGCAGTAGGAGATGAACATCCAAAAAAATAGACCATTTTCGAGAAAAAAAAAAAATGCCACTGGTACCACGGGTTTGACACAGCTTTTGCTGCGGCCACCAGGGCAACAACTCCAGGCCCAGGCGCGTACTCGTGAATGCCTGTGCAACTCGAAGGAGGATTGGGCTTTTTTTCAACCAAACATCTTGCAGTCGTTGAAAAATGAGAGGTTCAGAAAAGTGTCAAATACCACTACATATGGCTATTGGTCAAAACCCTGGTACCTAGTGAACCCCAAAATAGCTGGTAAATGGATGTTCATCCCACTAGAAATGGTATTACAGTAATAGGTATTGATCCATAGCCACATATCGCAATGTAGAACTGTTTTCGTGGAAACGCGTTCAGGTTTTAAAAAGGATAGCTATAGGTGGTTCACCCCAGCTACGGATTAAGCCCAGTTACAACTGGACGACCCTATGGCCTGCGTGAAATGCCACTGCCATATGAGGTGGACCCAAGGCGGACAGAAAGTCTTGGTAAAACATCCTCCACCGGTCCGGCCCCATGAAAAAAGGCAAATGGAGAGTAGCCATGGGTGACTTTAGCAACTTTAGCAATTTTAGCCTATTGATGATTCGAATATCGCCCCGTTTTAGGCACGATCCCAATGATGGACTGTTTTTTTATTGTGGTCGACTTTGGGCGCTGGAAAATGGAACTTTGGATGATGTGGGCACCTGCAAGACTGGCAAACAATCGCAGTTTGAAACGTGGAAAACTGGTTCTGATTGATTGAAACTAGTGCTGAAAATTCGTTGGACACAAGATGTTGCAAGATGTTGCAAGTCACTGTCCTGTAGAAAGTGATCCGCAGGTTGTCTATGCGAAAGGCTCCAGCATCACCTTCCAACAACTTTTGCTCAGACATTGCTGATGAAATCCCAGCAATCTTTGGTGATTCTGTATGTATATGTGTATATATATATATGTATCATGTGTGTGCCATTAAAATACTCCGATTTGCAGCTCATGTTTGCTGTTTCAATCGCAATCCACAAGTCTCTTTTTTATATTCCTGAGAACATTGGAGTGCTTCCAACTGCTGGTGGTTTCGATTTCCCATCCCATTCCAACCAAAACAAATGCGAACTCATCGGCCACTTTCACTCGTTCATATCCAGTTTATCATGTGTATCCCCATGTGTCTGTAAAGTCTTCATTTACGGTTCGCTTTTAAACAGCTATATACATAAACCGTATTTGAAACCAAATGCGTCCAATTCTCCCAATCGTCAGTTAAATCAGGGATTCCAATAGCGGGTGATCATAATACCTAAAAAGTCAGGTAGTAAAAGAAACCCCTATGATCATCAACCAACTGGCGTGTTCCAACGAATCCGTAGCTATTGCTTGGTATCGGATTTGCATTCTATCCCCAAAACAGGTCCATATCATATAACAATATACAATAATAATATATATATATATAATTCGATAAGATATAAGTGTATGTGAATATATACAGGCCATGTTATATATTAATTACAATCTCAAAAACAGATATATATATATATACATACATATATATATATATATATTATGTACGCATTATAGACATCATACATATAATATCTATCTATCTATCTATCTATCTATCTATCTATCTATCTCTCTGTCTGTCTGTCTGTCTGTCTGTCTGTCTGTCTGTCTGTCTGTCTGTCGATCCATCCATCCATCCATCCATCCATCCATCCATCTCCCTATCTCTCTCAGTTCATATTACATATTAGATATATACATATATATATATTTACATATATATATATATGATTTATATATCTCAATGTATCCCCTGATACCCCGGCATCTCAAACCTTGGGGTATCTCTGGCAGCTCGGGCCCCACCAAGCGCAGCTCCAAGTGCTGCAGCTCGAAGGCACGGCACAGCTCCTGGACCGGTCAAAACCATGAGATATATTGTACATGGTAAAAAATAGCTGTTTTATACCAGGTTTATACCAGGTTTATACCAGGTGTATATACCATGTATACCATGTATAATGCCATTTATGCTATATATATATACTGATATCTATATATTATTGATGTGTACATATCTTTATGCCATGTTTAACATCATGTTTAACATCATGTACCAGGGTTACACTGAGTTTTCGTCTTGCGGATCAAAAAGGGACCGTGACGGAACTTGATCCCATCTGGTGTTGGCCCCGAAGGGTACAAACGTGGTTCATCCACTGTTTCGCGACATTCAAAAGGCAAATCACTTCAATTACTAAAATCCTTCTGTTCAACTTCAAACTGAGTGAAGCAGAATTTGCTTGTTGGAAGGGATTTGAATCTGATTGCAAAATCAAACCTGTGAGAGTTGTGTGCATTCGCATTCACAGAGAGGGGTGATACATCTTGTATAA